TAGTTGTTACCAGAAAATCAGTGTTTATTTTGGCATCTAATTTTGATTTAGTTGTTTTCATATATTGTTTTTTCTCAAACATTCCTCATTAGATTTGTCAAAGACATTTTAGTCTAGTTTTCATCAGGGAATGTTTTGCTAATGTTTTCCCATCCATTTTCCATCCAGTTGTCACTTCTTTCTGCTCTACAGTATTACAGTAGATTTACTTTTCTTGGTTTAGGAATTTGCATTTTCATACTCGGTTGTTCCTGCCCACCTACAGCTGCCACAGCCACCCGTGTTCTCCATTGCAGAGAAGCCATTCATGCAGATCGGCTCAATTGTTCTCGGAAACACTGTTTCTCTGTCAAAGTTTACCCTTACAGAGGAAGCCAAACTGTCAGATAACAAAGCGATATTTCATCAATGAATATCTAGGGGAGCAACCCTGGTACTCACTCATTTCTTTTAAAAGCAATATAAAATATAGCCAAAGGCAAAAAAACAACAACCAAAAAACCGAATTACTGAGAATTCAGGGTTAAAAGTAGTAATCTGCATGAATGGAAGCTGGTCTAGAGGAGAAGTTGGTCAACTGAAGAGATGTAGTTAATTATATCAAAGTAAAAAACATTTTACAAAAAAGGAAAACACTAAATTTCGACCAACACTAGGTCGTGAATTGTGGAGATTCTGAAATGTTAATCTTATATAGAGACCTTGTGGTCATGAAGGCTGAACCAGCACACCATACATTAAATATACAGTGAGTGGCCACATGGAAAATAAGTTGATTGTGTTTGATTATAATCATAACAATAAAACCAATAATACAAATATTCACAGAATTATGCTTATTCTACACAAACACTGGCAGCTGACAGGAGAAAACTGCTTAACAACTGAGGTGTGAAATCAATTTTCTCATTAAGACTCGGATACAGCAAAGCATTTAATTTAAAAATCCAATAAGTCTCTCTCTTAAGTCAGTTATTTAAACAGTCACCCCCACTGATAAACTGCTCCATAGACTCAATACCTTCCACTTTCCAAAGGCTTTTGTTGCATTATGATAGATATGCAAGAGGCATAGGGTAATCTATTTTATTTTGTCATATTTGTGTTCTGCCAGTCAATCTTTCAAACTGTTAGCGTGTCTCCTGTAAAATGATTCACATGGGTAAGTTGGGGGTTACACAACATATGGGAAGTGACAATTATAATTCATTTTCCTTGTCTTGAAATCATCAGATTCCTTCTGTTGAGTGATGTTGAAACAGTGGTTTACGTAGTTTGCATTTAAAAGTCCTTTTATGTCTCTTGAGCCAGTAAAATATATCTGACTGACAATAAATTCAGCCCATAAATCATTTTTTTTCAGAGAATCGGCAACTTGACAGTTATGTTACTGAGCACAATGCCTCTAACAGTACTACAGCAGGTTAGATGACTCAATTCACTCTTTTGGGTGGTGGAGGAAACTGTTCCGACAAACTCTAAGTCTGTGATGCTTCTTGTCTCTTACAAGCTTGATACATACTGAGACAGTAATTTCCATGCTCAGCTTTGATTGGGCAGATATCTTAATGTGCAACAACTTTACTTACTACAGCTGTCGCTGTGTTTGTTTGTTTGCTTGTGAGCAATACTGAAACCATTTACAATGAAACTTGGTGGACGGGTGCAGTATGAGTCAGGAGAGATTCCATTGAATTTAAGTGGATGTGGATCAGATCCAGGAATTTGTATCACATTTTTTACCATTTTGAAATAGCTAGAGAATGTGAGATATACATTTTTGACATTTTCACCGATTTCCCAGGGAATAATTAATGGATCTTGATGAAAAATCAAACACACTTAGGGGACTGATATCTATGAATGTGTGAAATTTTGGAATTTGATTGAATTTAAGGGACTATTGGCTCTTGGCAGAGGTATGTGCTCTATCGGGTGTCATTCTAGTTCAATCAGTGGTGGTATGATGTATCATAAGAACTGAGAAGCCTGAACTGCTGTGAATTAAACTCTCAGTGTATCCCATTTAAGTCTGTATAACCACTTTCTCACTTGACAAAAGACTTACTACAACCCACTAATATTTGACTTTTCTCTTCAGTATGAATGTTTGCTGTAGTCACAGATATTTCTCAGCTCCAGTTGAGATCAGCAGTGATGTAAACGTGACGTGCTAATTTTATGTATACCAGGTGGATTTGGCTGCATTCAGACTGAACACACTGAAACCTTTCTGTCGGAGTATTTTGCAGTATTTTTTTCGGGGTTGATATACAGACATATGCTAGGTGTAAAAAGCTAACAACACAAGCCTAATCTGTGCGCACAAACACGGAGAAGAACATAGTATATGTATGTCCAAGTGTCACAATTCTCACCTGGTCGTGTCCCTTCTTTTTCTTCTTCTTCTTGCCCCAGCATCCAGAACTCTCAGCGTCCTTCCCGCCGGTGTCACACAACAGACCATCCAGCTCCTCCGATCCCCCCTGCTGGCTGTGAGATGTCTCTGCCGCCAGACGGTACGACAAGTTCCTCAGGATGCACACACAGTTCTCTACAGTCTGAGGGAAGGTAGAAAAAGACAGAACAGAGAGATGATAGAAGTGTGGAGAAAATGTTGAGGGACTGATGGTAATCAAGTGAACAGAAAAGATACAGTAAACACATGCACACGTACTATAGAAATACACTGTACTGTACAGACTGTATTCATAGACATATACATACACATGCTGTGTGCTTAGTGTAGTCAGACAAACACACATGTACGCACACTAATACTATTGTTACGAGACGCCATGCAGGCAACAGTCACACACTTTGATCTCGGGAAGGATTTCTGCGCATTAAAATCTTGACGTCTGCAAGAGCCTCCACTCAATACACCAATATTTATACTGGAAGCACATGCACAAGCAAAAAAAAAACTCTCTTATAAATTTCAGTACTAGCCGCCACTGCAAGTTATGTGAATTAGAATGCACATATACATATATTTGCATTAGTTATCTATCCATATGTCAAAATTATATTACAACCAATCCTTACACTGTAACAATCATGAAGCATGTTTACAAAGTAAAAATATACAGTATGATGCTGGACAATGATAACGCATACATTTGCACGCAGGCTTGCACACAAACACGCAATATTTTATAAATATACTTAGTTGTGCATAGGCTGGAGGCCTTAGGAGTGTGTGTACTGTACATGGCAGTAGATTGTATGTGTTGTATGTGAGTGAGTTACCTTGCTGTCAATCTCACTGCTCCCCAGAGCGGTCTGGATGACATAGAGCAGAGCGTCTGTCAGCCCCTCACACTCCCTCATTCTCCTGCGGGCCTCCTCACCAGCCGAACTCACATTCCTGTCAAACACATACACACAGAGGTTCACATACACCACATCAATGAACAGTCCCACTAAAAACAAAGATCTGCTACATTAGTTTTCACATTGTAATTCACAGAACTTAAATCATCCAGTAGTTTCTTAGGAGTTTTAAGTGAGTGGAAGTTTGTATGTTTGAATGTTAAAGCATATGGATACTATAGGCACTCCTTGTCTGTGTGACAGAGAGGAGAGAGAAGACCAGTGTAATGCCCTTTAAATGTCAGACTATTAAAGATGAACAGAGGATACGTGTACCCTCGGTAAGAAATGGCACTGACCTGCCAAAACCCCATTAGTGGCATTTGTTTTCCCAGGTCCTTAATAAAATTGCTCAGACAAATTTGTTCAAGTCGACACATTTCAACACATTTTATCACAAAAATAAACAACAACAACTTCATTATATAATGGCCACATTAGTTTTGAGAGCGTGGAAGAAGTGTAATCAAACCAAACCATTAGCAAGATGACTGACGGTCTGTGCTCAGCTGTACATTATAATTTACATTGTGTGACTGTGAAATAATAGAAAAGCTGATAAACTGTGTAGTACTAATGTAGTAAAAGACCTCTGAATCACTGTCTGTGATGATAGCATGTCTAGACTGGTCCTGCTCAAATGAAGACAGAACTGATCAATAGCAGCTTTCTAAGAAGGGTTTATGAATGGTGACCTTTTCCTAGCTAGGGGATAGATCCATAGCTAGCTACATACAAGCGACGCAGCTTTAAAGTTGGTTGTACGTCACAAAAATAACATTAACAACTAGTCAATGACACTTGAAGAACACATACCTCAGCCAAGGCAAAGCCCCCATCTCCCATGTTAAAGAAATTAAAGTAATAAATCATGGATCTGCCCATTTACTCAGATCTGCTTCAAAGATTAATTCTTAATTGAGTCATACTCCACCCCTCCACAAAATGTGTAAATCCATTATATTTTTGGAGTAATCCTTCTAGATAACAAAGAAAACAAATGCCAAATCATCGAACCCCAGAGTAGAAATTGAAACGTGTCAGACTGAATGAATAGTAATTCAGTGTTGTTTGAGCAGTAAAGCTGGATTTTCACAATTCCTTTCAAAGGACAATGGTAGATGGTAAAACCAGCATTTTACAAGGAACTGGCTTAAAATGAGGAAACAGTGTTTTATTTCGCAGCTTAAAAGTCAGAAGACAGTGATTTGAATTCATCACATCTCAAGCCCTTTGTCTTAATGTAGCTGTAATGGGCAACTTATTGAATTTATAAGGCCAGCATATGTTAAGTGTGCATCTTCTATTCGCTATGTGCTGCTGTCACTATAATGTGCACTCTTTACTTCCTAAGTGCAAGTACAAATTATACCAGTTTGACAGTTAGAAATGTAATGGTCATGTGTTGTATTGTAACAGCCTGTGTCTGACCTTAACATAACTGTATAAAACATGTATTTAAGAGTGGAGTGACGTGTTTTAGATAAGAGACTGCTTGTTTCATTCTGAACCTCAGTGGACGATTCATGATCTATTAAATAACATGAGCATCATATATTAATTATACAGTCAGGTTGCTGAGAGGCTGTTGTGTTCACGTCTGCATCTCTCCTGGCTTTTACTGTTTAATGTGAGTGTTGGTGCAAGGTCACCTGAGTACAAATTAAAGCATGCGTGTACGTGCGCGCGCACACACACAGAGTCAAGTCTCCATAAATTCAGAGGACATTATATTGACTAACATGCATTTTTTGGTGACCTTCTCTAACCTTAACCATAACGACTGCTTTGCCCAACCTTCAGGCTTACCCTACCCTTAACCTGACCTTGAAAAACAACATAAATAAAAAATAAATAAACAATAAATATACCATAGAAATTGTCCTTACCCTAAATATAAAAAGCAAGTGAAGCTTATAAGGGCTTTTTATCCTCATTAGGAAGACAGGTCCCCATAATGACCGTGTAAACAGATTTATGTCTCCACAACATGAGTAATAACTAAACCATAGACAAATCCACATAAACATCCAAAGGTACACACACACACACACACACACACACACACACACACACACACACACACACACACACACTGCCTGCTGTGTTTTCATATACATTGAATTAATCCAAA